ATGTCCAACGCGCCGTACAATCTGGCGCGCGGAGAGTTGCCATACGGGGCCGCGTCGCTCAACGACGGCGTACTCGAGGGGCTCACCGACCCGTTCAGTGGGCAACACGTGGGCTATTTGGCCGACACGGAAGCCGCCAAACAGGGCATCACTCGCTCAGCTCAAGACGAATACGCGATAAACAGTTATCGGCGCAGCGCCAGAGCCGCGGCCGATGGCCTGTCGCTCAAAGAGATAGTACCGGTGATTGTGAGCGGACAACGCGGACGACCAGACGTAACGGTGGCCGACGACGAAGAGTATCGCAGAGTTGACTTCGAGCGCGTGCCTACGTTGGCGCCGGCGTTTGTTAGGGACGGCACCGGCACTGTAACGGCCGCTAACGCCAGTCCCATCAGCGATGGCGCCGCCGCCGCAGTGCTTATGTCTGCGGCCGCTGTCCATAGGCTTGGCGTCCGGCCGTTGGCCAAAGTGATCGCGTACGCCGATGTGGGCGTAGAGCCGGCCGTATTTACCGTAGCGCCCATATATGTCATACCTAAGGTGTGTATTTTAACAAAATATGAGTACAGTATCATAGTAGGTAATAACTACTAGGTATATGTAAATGCTATAATCCATGTAAATGTATCTGGATATAACATTAATATACTGTATTGTACATTAAACTACATTAAGCTAATTTTAAAAGTTAGTTTTAAAAATAACATAACGTTAATACATTGTGTTTGTGTGGGGACAGGTGTTGGAAAAGGCTGGCCTGCAAATGAGTGACATCGCCCACTGGGAGATTAACGAGGCGTTTAGTACAGTGCCCTTAATCAGCATTAAACATTTAGGCTTAGCCACCGAACTCGTGAACCCGAATGGCGGTGCTGTCTCTCTCGGTCACCCCGTAGGGTATGCGACTTTATTTTTACCTTATTTTTTATGCACAACTTATATTGTGCATAAATCACAAATTGGTTTAAAACTTGTAATTTATATCCTAATTTATTAATATAACTAATAACAGCTGTTCGGGCGCTCGTATTGTCAATCATTTGGCGCTACACCTAAAACCCAATGAGTATGGATTGGCTGCCATTTGCAACGGAGGTGGCGGTGCCTCTGCTTTGTTGGTCCAGAAGTTGTAACAAATAATTAACTGTTATTATAAGTTATAGTAAAAAATAGAATTCAATTTTAATTAATTAAAATTTGTAAAAGAGACTATAAAATCTTTTTTAATTGATTAAATTGTCATTTGTTATTATAATAATAAATAATATTTTAGAAACATTTATCTTATAATTTATTTATTTTAATAAACTATTTTAATACTTTAAAAGTATTATAATTATTTAAACAAAATATTTAATTTTAACCACTAAGCTTGTATAGGATTACAGCTTAAGTCTATGATATACAATAAAAAAAGTAATGCTAAGTCTATAAGTAATGTTAAATCTATGTGTAATGCTAATCCTATAGATAATTCTAAGGTAAGTCTAAAGGAAATGTTAAATTTATGGCAGTGTTTAGTCTATTGACAGTGTTAAATTTTTAGTTTTAAACTCTCATAAATACTTTTTTGTAGGCAATTAGCAACAAAATTATATTGCTTGCTCATTCATCATATGTGTTGAAACATTGGGTAAATAATCTAATTATTATATACAGCATTATACAATTTAATTAAAAACAAAATCTTATGAAATAAGAAATAAATTAATGACAACATTATCTTTTAATACTTCAATAAAATATTTAATAAAAATAAATAAATAATTAACAATTTTAACATTTTAACTTTATTACTAATTTTACTATGTAAAGTTTACATTCTGAAATAGTCCATTAAAGTATGGAGAGGACTTTAGTGCAGTTTTGTTTATAATATACATGTTTCAAAAATATAACGATTATCGAAACTATTTTATAGATTTTATACTTAAAATGTGCCCATAGGATTAGCATTACGAAAAGCCTGTTTTTGTTTAGTCATAAAATTTATATTACTTATCAGATTTTAGTAATTCTTTTTTTTTATTGTACTCACCTATTATTGCTCTAAAAATTTTCCATGAGAACCATCTCAATATTTCTCATCATTTGACCAAAGTAGTAGAAGAATACGTTCTCTGTGCCACCTATTGATCACCTATCAGTAATTATCGATCACCAATCAATAAGTTATTGATTTTTTTAAAAAGTGACGAAATTTTGATATTTTCACAAAATGATGACTTGACTGAATGATGACCTTGAGCGCATCCGCACACCAACGATTCGCGTTTAACGGAACT